ATCAAACCTTAGAGAGAGACCAACTTTCTTTATTAATTCTTTTTTTTTTTTTTTTTTTGAGACAGAGTCTCACTTTGTTGCCATCCCCCATCCTAACTAAAGATAAAAGTATCTTTTTATAGATATTAGAAATATTGTCATCAAAAACGTTGCTTAAGAACCTTCAGTACTTCTCTTTAAATGTTAATAATGACTTATCCTTAAGGTTGTGACACTGGGGGAAATTTATTTTTCTGTACAACAATGCAGCTTACATTTAGGCTATAATCTAGCTTAATTTACCTCATACTATACAATAGGTAAGTCACTGTTTAACATATTCAAAATATATAATTCTCTTTTTTCCCAAGCACTCTATCAAATGGAAACAAAATATATATTAATAATTCTTATTTGGAGAAATTCAACTATTCTTGCTGTTGTCCAAACCATAAATCTGAGAATAATTCTAGATTTCTCTTCCCTTTTCTCCTATCTAATTACTCACTAGGTCCTATGCCATTCTGCCTCCTAGAATCTATCAGCTGTCCTTTTGCCTTTACCTCACCATTATTGCCTTAGGTAAGATTTTCATTATTTTTCACCTAGAATACATACTCAATCTGTAATCTCTTTCAACTCATCCTGCTCACTACTTCTGGGTTACCATTGAAAACAGATCTGATGATGCCTTGTGCTGCTTAACATCTTTGGTACATTTTGATCTTTTGATCAAGGAGCACTATATAAAACATTAAAAATCATGTTTTTCAAGATCTTTAAGATTTGAGACAATGCTATGTTGTAGGTGGGAAAACTGGTTAAAAATTTTTGGAGAAATCGTATTCGTAAAGCAATCAGAAATGAAATAGTAGTTATCAAAACAATATTTTCTAAAAAAATAGGCTGGACAGGGTGGCTCATGCCTGTAATCCTAGCACTCTGGGCGACCAAGGCAGGAGGATCACTTGAGCTCAGGAGTTCCAGACCAACTCAAGCAAGAGCAAGACCCTGTCTCTACAGAAAATAGAAAAATTAGCTGCCCATGGTGGAGTGGGATTGTAGTCCCAGCTACTCAAGAGGCTGAGGCAGGAGGATCACTTAAGCTCAGGAGTTTAAGATTGCAGTGAGTTACGATGACATCACTGTAGTCTACCCAGGGCAACAGTTGGAGACTCTGTCTCAAAAAGAAAAAAAAAAGTCTTAAAAGTTTTGGGGCAAAAAAACCCCCAAAACCAATCATGTAAGAATACAATTACATTTGTATTAGACTTCTCAGTAGCAAATCTGGTTGAAAAAAGATGGATCATGCCTTCAAAGTTCTGAGAGCAAATTCCTGCCTATTTGAATTTACACTCTTCAAACTCATGAAGCAAATAGATGATAAATTTTTTGAGCTATCCGTTGTCAAATGAACATTTCCCACTTGCTTGCTTGCTCGCTCTCTCTCTCTCTTTCTTTTTTTTTCTTCTTTTTTTTGAGACAGAGTTTCACTTTGTTGCCCAGGCTAGAGTGCCATGGCATCAGGTTAGCTCACAGCAACCTCAATCTCCTGGGTTCAAGCAATCCTCCTACCTCAGCCTCCTGAGTAGCTGGGACTACAGGCATGCGCCACCATGCCCGGCTAATTTTTTCTATATATATTTTTAGTTGGCCAATTAATTTATTTTTAGTAGAGACGGGGTCTTGCTCAGGCTAGTTTTGAACTCCTGACCTTGAGCAATCTGCCTGCCTTGGCCTCCCAGAGCCCAGTTGCTTTCTGAAACTCAGGAACCAAACTAATTTAGCCAACAAAATGTCCATTGCTAACAAAACTCTCAATGGCTAAATCCAGGAGATAAATAGATTTGGATTTTAGGACATATTTGCTTTTTCAATCTATAATTCTTTGACCAAACTGTCTTCGTGTGTGAAGTTAAAAACATTTGCAGACATACAGGATCTCAAACTTTACTCTCCATGCCACTCTTTTCAAAGGAGGATATACTCCACAAAAATTAAGAAGGTAAATCAAAGAAGATAAATACCAGAAATGAGGGCACCAATTCAGCATTGTAGCAAGATCACAGCTTTGTAGCATAACCACAGAGTATAATATCCAGATTGGAGCAGGACAGAAGAAAGCAGGAGGGAGATGTACAGGAAGAAAATGAACTGCATTTGACTATGTGGAAAATAGTTTAAGTGGATTTAGCTTACCAATTAAAAGAGACTTTCACATAGAATTTTAGATTCAAATAAAACATGAATCAAACGGATAGATTAAAAAGTAAAAGGTTGACAAAAGGAATTCAGACTAAAATTTTTATGGAAGAATAAGGCCTACAAATAACCAAGTAAACTTAGAAAAGAGGGAGGATTTTTCCTACCAGATACTAAAATAGTAGTAAATAAAATAGTAGGAAAAACTGTACTATGGCCTAAGAACAATGCAAATGAATAGAGTGTTCAGAGACAGACCATGGGTATGTGGCAATGTAATATTTATAAAGATGACACAGTGAAAAAGGGAGAGTTTTTATTAGATGGTTTTGAGGATACTGGCTCACTGGAATGAAACTAGATCCCTACTGATGTGCTTCAGATATATTAAGACTTAAATGATAAAACGTTCAAATTATAAATTTAACAGAAGAAAGTGCTGGAAAATATCTATGACCTAGAGGTGGAAAATGATTTCTTAAAAGGTATGACATATAAGGCAGAAACAATAGAAATTTGATTATGTAAAAATTAAGCATTTCTGCTTACAAAAAATCTGAGGACAAAGTTAATAAATGACAGAATGGCAGAAAACAGTAGAAAAGAAATTTGAAATATCTAAGACCAAAAAGTGACTAAATGTAGAATATAGAAGAAACTCCTTCAAATTAATAAGAAAAAGCAATGCCAATGGAAAAATGAACAAAGAATATGACAAGACAAATTTCAGAAGAAACTGAAAAGATGGTCAAACTCCCTAGTAATTGAAGAAATGAAAACTTAAAATAATCACTTAATACTATTTAGAATTTTAAAAACTAGACAATTGAATGATGCCAAATGTTGGAGGCATGTGGGCATGTATTAATAGGAACCCTCATGTACTGCTGATGAGAGTGTAGACTGATGCAGCTATTCTAAAGAGCAAAAATACACTTCAGTGTTCATGTACCCTCTGATTAGGAGTTCGTGTGCCCCTAACGCTTGCACTGCTTGATGTAATCCCTCAGACATTTTCATACAAGTCCATTATTGGGCATTATTTTTGATGTCATGGGGTTGGAGACATCCTGGGTATCTATCCTTGGGAGACAGGCTAGGTAAAAATGTGGTGTTTGTACACAATGAAGTAACAACAGTTACAAGCCACAGACTAGATTTATACTTAGCTATATGGGTTAATGATAAAACTAGTACCCAGAGAAAACAGTAAGAAACAAGGTATGTGTGGGGAAACCGTTTATAGTAATTAAAAATATTAAAGCTAACAGTTCACTTTGCAAGAACATACAGAATTTTATGTATTATTAACACCATAGAATGGTTACCTGGTATGGTGAAAGAAGAATGGGAGTGGGTATAGAAATAAAAGAGAAGGGAAGAAATTTAAAAAGAAAAAAATCACTTTGAAAGGATGTTACAAGTATGTTGGAGAGTTTGGAAGCTAATAATAGGCCCACAAGAAAACATGCAAATGAAAGGGGTAAGGGACAATTTTTAACTCGCAGGGGTGAAAAATGAAATGCAATCATAGTATACTAGTAGTGTACTAGGCACCAACTGGTGAATAATAGGTAGTCATAATATTGATTTAATCAAAGTTGTAAAACTATATTGGAAGCATAGGGGCAGGAAAGTGGAAAGGGTGTGCAAATGCTTAATTTTCCATAGTAGAAAGTCAGTATCTTTCTATAGATAAATCAAGAAAACATCAGTGTAAGCATATTTAGAAGCATGTACATAAATCACCTGCCAAAACAGCTGAGAGTTGAAAATGGTTCCTTCTGTGGAAGAGAAAGGTGGGACAGAAGGGATAAGTAACTTCCATTCTTGTTTGGTTTTTGTTGTATAATATACCTTGTGGTAGAATACCAGTTAGGATACTTTGGGGTGCAAATAAAAGACAGCCCAACTCAAATTAAGCAAATAAGGAACATATTACCCCACATAAATTCAGAAGTGGGGCATTTCCAGAGTTGGTTGTGAGCAAGAATCCAAATTCTTTCCATTTTTCTGCTCTGCCAATCTTCGGCTTGTCCGGTAGTTATCTCCAAATTCCTAAGATGACTATAACAGTGCCAGTGATAACATCCACATTCAACAACATCCAGTGGATGAAGTTCTGTTTTTTTTTTTTTTTTACCTGTGATTCTTTTTATTAATGATCACACAGAGACACTTTCTGAGAAGCCTCACAGCAAATGTCATTAGCTAGAATTTCATTATGTGTCCATGCCTACAACAGTCACTAGCCAGAGGAATGTGACCACCTCCGGATTGGCCCAATCATGATTCACTGCCTATGTGGCTGGTGATAGCATATTCTCCCCAACACACAGTGGTTCAGAGGAAGGTACAAAAAGGAGGAAGTTGATGAATAGTTGTTGAATAGATGGTCAACAGTATCTTCTACAAGTACTACTTGGCATTTGAATCATGTGTATGTGTTACTTGAAAATCTCTTTCATTGGAACATTGAATCAGATAAACAAAGGTGAGATATTTGGGATACCAAGATGAGCAGGGTACAGCTCCTATCCTGTAAGAGATTACAGCTTATGAGATAGACATGTAAGCACATTTAAATACAACATAGGATGCATCATAAAGATTTAAAAAATGCTGTGTGAAATCTAGATGGTAAAGTGCCATAATATCTAGGATTGTCAGAAACATCATTCTTTTTCTCTCCTTTGTCATTTTCTTTATCTTGTTTTCTATAAGCTTTTCTTGCCTTCCCCTTTTTCTTAAGCCTGCCAGCTAAGTATACATATAGCTTAGCTCTGCTTTTGGTGTTCAGCACTAAAGAGACTATTGATGCTAATTGATTAAAAAGTTTTCATGAGAGTTAGAAGAGGATCTGAACCTCTTCTGACTCACCTTCAACACTGCATTAGTCCAAATACCATCACAGTTGTGTTTCCACACTGGGCTATCAAACTCTTTCCCCAGCTGGTCTCAAATGTCCCCTTAAACTCATGTCCCTGCCTAATTTGTAAACCTGTATTTCTGTATACACACGTGAAGATCCCTTCTCCCTTCTTCTTTAAGTGATAAAGCTCAGAAGCTGAAAGCAAGGACTACAAAATAGCAAAACTTAAAGGTAACTTGGATGTAGATAACATCATCTTAACCTGTGATAATTATTAGATTGCATATTCTATTGGACAGTGACATTTGATACTGTTTTTATATCTGTTGCTATTTCTATTTGCTTAAAATCTGCCTCTTCTTTCTTCCCTAATATTACTTTATGAGTCTATATTATTAATATGTTCTCATCTTTGAAGATCTGATCATTGGAAAATCCTATCTTCCTTTAAAATACTGGAAGTTCAGCCATTGCTCTAAAACAGTAACATATTCATCCAATTCTATTAAGTGAATTTCC